ACTACATCTGTGGGAAGAGAAGATAGAGAAGCTCAGTATCATCACCCAAAACAAGGTCAGAGGCCAACTGTGAAACAGACCATTGCTCTTATGCAAGTTCAGGTTGAAGCTGAAGAAAATTAAAACAAGTCCATGAGAGCCAAAAATATGAATTTGAACATATCCCACTTGAATTTAAGGACAATATCAAGAACAGACTTGATCTATTAGACACTAATGACAAGACCAAAAGTGTTGTGGAATAACATCAAGAACATCATACAGGAAGAAAGCAGAAGTCATTATAAAAAGGAAAGAAATAAACGACTAAAATGAATGACAGAAGAGATTCTGAAACTTGCTGTCAAGCATAGAGATGCTAAAGCAAATGGAAGAAATGAGGAAGTAAAAGAGATGAAGAGAAAATTTCAAAGTCAAGTATTAAAATGAAATGTACACAGACCTGGAGTTAGAAAACAACACATTAAGCATTCCTCAACCTGAAAGAACTAAAGAAAAATTTCAAGCCTTGACTTGCAATATTGAAGGATTCTATGGGCAAATTATTGAATGATGCAGAAAGCATCAAAAGAAAAAGGAAGAAATATACAGAATTACTGTACTAAAAAGAAATGGTCTATGGTCAGCCATTTCAAGAGGTAGTATATGAGCAAGAACCAGTGGTACTAAAGGAAGAAGTCCAAGCTACACTAAAGGCAGTGGAAGCACTCTCTCATCTATGCCAAGAAATTTAGCTACCTGGCCAATTGATTGGATGAGCTAGCCTATTTATACCTATTCCAAAGAGGTGACCCAACAGAATGTTGAAATCATAGAACAATATTATTAATATCACATGCAAGTAAAACTTTGCTGAAGATAATTCAAAACTAGCTGCAACAGTACAGCAAGAGGGAATTGCCAGAAATTCAAGCCAGATTCAGAAGAGGACATGGAACAAGGGATATCATTTTTTATATCAGATGGATCTTGGCTGCAAGCAGAGAATACCAGAAAGATGTTTACTTGTGCTTTATTGACTGTGCAAAGGATTTCAACTGTATGGATGATTGACAAGCTATGTATAATATTGCAAAGAATGATATTCCATAACACTTAATTGTGCTCAGGGAGAACCTGTACATCGACCAAAAAGCAGCTGTTCAAACAGAAAGGGATACTGTTGTTAAGTGCCATTGAGTCAGTTCCGACTTATAGCAACCCTGTATAAGGTTTCCAAGGAGGAGCTAGTGGGTTTGAACTGCAGACTTTGTGGTTCATAGTCTAGTATTGATCATAGTAGTGCCACACCAGGAGTTCAAAGGGGATACTGAATGGTTTTTAAATCAGGAAAGGTGTGCACCAGGGTTGTTTGTTTTCATCATACTTACCCACTCAGTATGCTGAGCAATAATCTTAGAAGCTGGATTATATGAAGAAGTACATATATCAGGATTGGCGGAAGACAACTTTGGTATGCAGATAATGCAGCATTACTTGTAAGAAATTAAAAGGACTTACATACTTACTGATGAAGATCAAAGACCACAGTCTTCAATGTAAAGTAAACAAAAATCCTTTCCACTGGACCAATAAATAACATTATGATAAATGGAGACAAGATTTAAATTGTCAAAGCCTTCATTTTGCTTGGATACATAATCAACACTCATGGAAGCAGCAGTCAGGAAATAAAAGGATATATTGCATTGGGAAAATCTGCTGTACAAGACATCTTTAAAGTGTTCAAAAGCAAAGACATCAGTTTGAGGTTAAGGTGTACCTGACTGAACCAAGCCATGGTATTTTCAGTCACCTCGTATGCATGTGAAAGTTGGACAGTGAATAAGGAAGACTGTAGAAGAATTGATGAGTTTGAGTTGTGTTATTAGAGAAGAATATTAGAAGTACCATGGACTGCCAGAACTAACAAATCTGTGTTGGAAGAAGTACAGTCAGATGCTCCTTAGAAGCCAAGATGGCCAGACCTCAGCTCTCATACTGTGGACATGTTATCAGAGGGATCAGTCTCTGGAGAAGGACATCATGCTTGGTAAAGTGGAGGATCAGCAAAAAAGAGAAGCCCCTCCACCCCCCAATGAGATGGATTGACACAGTGACATATGCAGTGGATTCAAGTATAACAACAATTGTGAGGATAGGATAGGATGGTGCAGGACTATAGACAATGTTGTTCTGTTGAGTAGGGTCTGTATGAGTTGTAACTGACTCAGTGGTACCTAACAACAACAGCAACAATAGAATCCTGTTGTAGTGCTGTAAGATAAGCACTAGACTGCTAACCACAAGACTGACAGTTCAAACCCACCATTCGCTACTAGGAAACCCTGTATACAGGCTCACTATGAGTTGGAATCAACTCAACAGCACTTAACAACAACAGATAGTCTAGTAATGAAGCAAGGTGGCTCTTTGGATACGCACTGGACTGTTGATCACAATGTTGGCAGTTCAAGCCCATCAGCTGCTCCACAGGAGAAAGATGAGACTTTCCGCTCCCATAAGATTTACAGCCTCAGAAACCCTATACAGGGTCACTACAAGTCAAACCCGACTCAGTGGCACTTAACAGCAACAACAGTAGAGTTATGAGGAGCCCTGGTTACACATTGGGTTAGGTTTGGGGCTGCAGAAAGTTTGCGGTTCAAACTCACCAGCCACTCCATTGGAGAAGGATGAGGCAGTCTGCTTCCTAAAACATTTACAGCCTCAGAAGCTCTGTGGAGCAGTTTTACCCTGTCTTGTAGGGTTATTATGAGTCAGAATCAACTTGATCACTTTATCTGTTATTGTTACTGTTGTTTTAATGAAGTAATAGAGGAAATTCTGAAACTCAAACAGTATCTAGTCTTCCCCAAAGGTGATCCCACCCATTTCACGCCAGGAGCACTTCATTCATTCCTTCCAAATCTGTTTCCAATCCTTGACAAGCTAGAACTGAGGGGTCCCCATGAGTGGTGGTAGTGGTTATGTGCCGTGGAGTCAGTTCCTACTCATAGTGACCCTGTACAGGTTCCTGAGGCTGTAAATCTTTACAGGAGCAGAAAACCTCATCTTTCTCCCGCAGCACAGCTGGTAGTTTCGAACTGCTGACCTTGCAATTCATAGCCTGATTTGTAACCACTACGCTACCAGAACTCCTTGTAAGTGGGGCTAAATTCTTAGTATCTCCGCCTGGCAGGTTTTGAAAAGGATAATCTAATCCCACATTTCCTGGCATCTCAATGTTGAATTCTAAACATATTTTCCCACGGAATCATTGCTATGTGTGGTCAGATGCTATATAGCATTTGTACAGTGTGAATTTAAAGGACTTGTATGGAAGCCTAACTGCCATGGATAACTTTGTTTCTGTGGGGAACTACTTAGCACAATGACATTTGAATTCTAACCCCCTTATGCTTGAAAAATTATGGGCATAATCAGTTTCACTGATTTAATTCTCTTCTGATTATACCATATGTTAGGGTTTATTTGGTTCTCTCAAGTTGGACTGTAAATTTCATAAAAGTCATGGGCCTGTTCTTTTTTCTTTCTTTCATGTCTTCCACTGCACCGAACATTGCAGAACTTACAGGTACTCAGTAAATCTTGTCAGTTGATAAATTGGTTGAAACCAGACATTGGTGTATTTTCACAAATTTTCCTTCTTAACTCCTCTACTTTTTCTTCTTCATTTCTGTCCTATCAGTAATGTCCAATTACTAGTGAACTAACTGGTGAAGGCAGTAGAAATATTTAACAGCAGTAAAAGATCTTAGAGAGACTAAGTTTTTATTTGATTTTTAATTCATGAAGCTGATATTTGTTCTCTGAGCTCTGGCCTTCATTTATTTCTACAGTGTCTATACGCAGAATAGACTTTAAAATTAATTGTGGTCTTAAACAGTCTTTCCACTGTCTCAACTAAGCTCCCCTGCTGAATCCACGAGATAGTGAAAGGCACTTACCTTGTTCTGAGTCTTTGTACTAGAGACATTGTTTATCTCAGTGACCTCTCCAGTGACTAGTGATTGTCCAGAGCTGAGAAATGCTTTGACTAATCAATTTCCAGACAGGTGTTGAAATACTAATAGGTTCAGATAGATTTTTGTTTTCCCAAAGAAAATAACCCACTTTTAAGCAAAAGGTTTAAAAGAGTCTTCATAATTTATGATTACATTAAGTAATTCTATGAGAATGGGACTTTTCCCTAAGGATATTTGACTAAATTAAAATTCCTTCTATTACTAGTCTAGCTAAGTTGTTATGGCCCAAAAATACAAAACTCCTTAAATGGATTGAGTTCCAGACAACCAGCTCCCTAAATCTAAATATGAAACATGATATAGTAATGGGTTTAACAAAATTATTTTGTTTTCTTGGAGTAGATAATAGCTTTCTTAGCTTGGGAATTTACCCCCGTTTTGTTTTTCAAGTCATTTCTGTTATATGTTGTTGTTGTTAAGTGCCGTCGAGTCGGTTCCGACCCATAGCGACCTTGAACAGGGTTTCCGAGGCTGTAAATCTTTATGGGAGCAGAAAGCCTCATCTTTCTCCCATGGAGTGGCTGGTAGTTTCGAACTGCTGACCTTGCGGCTCACAGCCCAATTCGTAACCACTATGCTACCATAGCAGTGTTAAATACCCTAAAAAGTAATAGCTCTAAAAACAGGAGTTTGTCCTTAGGGGATGCATACCAAATTACTTCCTTACTCTAATAGCAGCTTTAAGCCAAATATATAGATATATGTGTGTGTGTGTGTGTGTGTGTTTTAAGTCCACGAAATAGCCATGATATGGGTATGTAGAGCATCAACATGTATTCAGTTTACAAAAACAAATGGTTCTGTAATGTGCAGAATAAACCTAAGACACTGTGATAGGTATTGAAGAAGTTTGTCTAAGGTGCAGAAAGAATGCTCATAACCATTTTCAGAAAGTAGCTTCATCAAACTAAGTTATATGGAACACTTTTCTCCCCATTCATCAAGGTATTTATGCACATTCTCTTGTTCTAGGAGTATACCATGCTGTGTCTGTTATGTGGTAAAGCCGAGGATACTATCAGTATTCTCCCTGATGACCCCCGACAGATGACGCTGCTGTTCTGAGGATCCTTCTGCAGTTTTGTTGAAACCACATTGAATTGGTTTACAATTCAGAAAACCTGTTGGTTTACTTTGCCTTTTTTTCTAGCTTAGATTTATCTACTCTTTGAAAGCACACATAATTTAGGGAGTTGCTGCTCTCCAGAGCTGAGTTCTTCTGCTTAGGTTCTCAGTTCACATCAGTGCAGCCAGAGGTAAGCATCATTGTTAGCAGTTACACAGCTGGAAAACAATCCTTACAGAAGCATATGTAGCACCCAGATTCTCGGAATAGGACAGGGAATATACAAGATGAGCCTGGAGCACAAAGTAAGGGAATGCTTAAAAAAAAACCACAGTGATTGGAAGTATGTCAGGAACAAAGGAGCAACTAAACGAGTTCCCAGTGGAACTTATTGTACAAAAGAAAGATGGAACAATTTGTGCAACAAAACAAAGTGGTATTGAATTATAACCCCAAATAAAAAATAAATATGTACAGACCAGATTTGTATGATATTATAAACGAATGAATGAGAAGGGAGAGACATGGCGTGGATGGAATAATTCCAGATTTATGTAACAGTCTGCACTCAGGAAGTGGAACAGTAAGTTCCTCACCCCTAGTGGGCGGTACCTAGTGATTCCTTCCTGAGTACAGTATGGAAACAGGGTAGGGAGGGTCACTTTATAAGGGACCTCTGGCAAACAAGACTCAGCCAGGTGATCAAGGTGAATGACATCACTGATAAGTCACTTTGATAGTTTCAAGGTGAATGACATCACTGATAAGTCACTTTGATAGTGAGTTATCTTTGATATGATGTAAGGAGAATGCCATTTTACCTCAGTGGTCTTCCAAAAACTGCTAGGTCAGTGTAATCATGAGAAAAACATCAAGCAAACCCCAACTGATGGACAATCTACAAAATAGCCAACCAGCACTCTTCAAAACTATCAAGGTCATCAAAGACAAAGTCTAAGGAACTGTCACAGCCAAGAGGAGCCTAAGGAGACATGACAACTAAATGTAATGTGGGATCCTGGGCCAGCGACATTTGGTTAAAAAGGAAAAAAAAACAACCTAAGTAGTATGAATAAAGTGGATTTTAGTTAATGATAAAGAATGGTTTCATTTATTCCAATGGGAACGTAGACTGTCTTCCCGTGTACAGTTGAAAGATGACTGGCGTGAGAGCCATAAACCCCAGTACGTGAGCCTCTCTGCCATTTGGTAGCCGTCTAATCATTAAGAACATGTTGCTTTGCACATCTTTGTTGTATTTTTATACCTGGTTAATAAAATTGGTACTATGCTTCTTTCACAGTATTGTTGTTGTTAAGTGCCATCAAGTCTGTTCCAACCCACAGTGACCCTGTATATAGGGTTTCTGAGAAGCAGCTGGTGAGCTTAAACTGCCAACCTTGCAGTTCAAACCAGCTTTACAGTTCAGTGTGTTAACCCACTGGACCACACCAGGACCCCACAGTATTGTTAGGAGATCCAAATGAATTAACTCTAAAATGCCTTGGGAAGAATATGAAGTACTAGATAGAATGCAGTGGCTTCCCTTAGTTCTCACTCTGAGACCAATTCTTAAAGGGTCAGGCATTAGAAGCATGTTTGTTTCCTCTTCATACTGTAGGAGATGTTTCTGAACTAAAGTTTACTTACAAGAAGAAAAAGTGAGTGGAGTGTTCATTGTTGACTTGATGCCAGGGGAAAACTTTGTTGTGTAACAGCAATACTTAAAATAAGAGCTGAGGTTTGAGTGCTTCTTCCTCTGTGCTTAGGCCTCTTAAAGCACTTTGCTCATTTAATCCTCATTAACAACTCTGTGAGGCACCTAGTATTATTGTTAGCCCATTTTAGAGCCAAGAAACTAAGGTCACCCAGCGAGTACAGTGACTCCCTCTCAGTCATGTTTGGTAAACATGAAGGGTAAGAACCTGACAAGGTTAGGAAGAAGTTGAGAATGCCAGTAACAGCACCTTAAGAAATCCAGGTATGTCAGAAAAAGTTAAGTCGGCTGCTGCTTGCAATTCAGCTGTCTTATTCCTGGAAAATGTTTTCCACTTTGTTGCAAATCTCTATCTGAGCTGCTGAGGAAATCATTTGGTGAAATGAATCCAGAAAGCTGAGAAAATGCTTCATTACTTTAAATAGCAGTACTGAGCCCATTATAGCCTCTCAATTGTCCCTTCTTAGAGCTTGGTGATGCTGCCAACTTAGTCATTTAGAACTCAAGAGTTGATTTTATATGCCCCTACTGACGTCCTCATCTATTGCAGAATATATAGTTTTATCTGTTTTGGGTCATATACTACAGAAAATTTAAACACAAGATGTTATTCTCATATTTCATTACTATTAAACCGACATTGTACTGTATACTGTGGTGTTTTATGGATCTAATAGAAGGATCTCTTGAACCCAGATCTATTTATTCCTTACTATTCAAATAAAGAAGACCCAGGCAAAAGCATTTGTCTCTACTTTCCTTCCTAAGGTATAAGAAGAAAAAGGAATGTGTGGGTGTGACTGGGGCCATGGACTTGGTCAGGCACCTCGCTTCAGCCTACTTTCTCCTTCACTACTAACTCCATAACATACAGCCCTGAGATATGGCTACTTAGTCTCTGGAATTGTGTGATTTTAGTCAGCTCTGTCTTTTTCAAACAGTCTTGGGTTCTTCCAGTACTAATTAATTAGCATGATATCGTTTGAGCACAAGCAGTATACTTGTAAATTATCACTAAGAGGTAAATGTACACGGTTTTTTATTTTAGTGTGACAGTCCTTTTGATTTGATTTTGTGAGCATAGTTAACTTCATTAAATTTGAGGCTCTCAATTTTACAATGTACAAGTCTCTACTGTGAAATATAGTAGAAAAGTCCTGTCTAGAATTAGCTTGGCCACCTACAAATGGTGGAATGCTGGGAAAGTCACTTATCCGATCTACACCCCAGGTGGTTCAGTGGGAAAATAGAAATCACACCTATATCACAGAGGTTTGTAGTCAAATGATACTATGTAGGTGAAAGCATTTTTAAGCCAAGCGATGAGTGCTGTGTTCAGGAAGCTCTCTAAAAAGTGATTCTCTGGCTGTCCTCTAAAGTGAGTAATATTATCTCAGCATTTCTGGGGAAATTGGATTAAGTGGTTCTGTTTAAGAAAGTGGGTGATTATGTTATGTTAACCTTTGCCTTATCTGTTGATGACCACAAACTGGTATTTCTGAGAGTGAAGGGGGGGTAAACAAGATGCAGAATTAAGGAAACAATTTCTCGTGTGTCACCATTTTAATGAGTACGGCTAAAGCTTTAGGAAAGCTAAACCACTGTCATGGAGCCAGTAACCAATCACAGGGACCTTGAATCAGGAGGCTGGGGTCTTTGTAAAAGCTCTTCCAACCCTGTCTTTCCTATTCCCTGGGGAGCCAAACTCTGGTCAGTTTCCCCCTAAAGCAAATAACATTCCCCCTGCCCAAGTGGAACCCTTTCCCCAGCCTTAGGGCCCTTTCTGTCTCTTGTATTGACTGTCACTTATGTTACAGTATAAATTACTGCAAAGTCATTTACACTAATTCCCATTCCTTGTTACTGTTAAATGCTGTCAAGTCTGTTCTGATGCCTAATGACCCATATAGGGTTTCCGAGGCTGTACATCTTCTCAGGGCATCTTTATCCCACGGAGTGGTTGGTGGGCTCAAACCGCCAACCTTGTGGTTGGCAGTGCAGTACTTATCATTTGGTCCCGCTGATTCCCATTCCTTCGGAAATCCCTAAATCAACTTGATCCCCATAGGAAAGACCCAACCTACTATACTGGAATAGTACCAGCATCTTGGATCGCTGGCTTCTTGTGTATAACAAGAGGCTATAATACTGTCTGGATAATGAACAAATCATACTGACACCCAAATGAATTCAGTATTTCATCAAGCGAGGAAATTTGTCTGCATTGTTCTAAAATGAGTGTGTGTGGCTTTGCCCTGAGACTGCCACAAAAGAATTTACTACCCCAGTTGCTGACTTTAAGAGCAGGAATCAGAAAACTTGCATTTTCAATTGTCAGGGTTAACCTTATTTGACCAGACCAGACCCAGAGCCACTGTCATCAAGTCAAGTCTGGCACCGTAGACAATGGAGACTGTAGAACTCATCTAGGGTTTCTGGGACTGCACTTTACAGGAGCAAACAGCCTCATTTTTTTCCTAAGGAGCAGGCAAGTTTGAACCGCTGACTTAGTGGTTAGTAGCAGCCCTGCAAAAAGGATACTGTGTCTCGTTATCACAGGCTACTCTTCAAATAAAGCACCATTGATGGGACAGTGTCGTTAGGTGTCCATCAAATCAGTTCTGACTTAGAACAGGATAAAACACTGCCCAGTTTTACACTGTCCTCACAAACTGTATCTGAACCCATTGTTGCAGCCACTGTGTCAGTCCATCTCTTTGAGGGGCTTCCTCTTTGACTGACCCTCAGCCAAACATTATGTCCTCCGGGGACTGGTTCTTCCTGGTAACATTACTTATCCTGACAGCATTCACTGAAAGCTATTCTTACTTGAAGAGGGGCCTTACCTTCTATTCCACAGGTATTTCTCAGATGATGCAAGTACTTTAAGAATGGTTGTGGGGAGCAGAGTAATTAAAAAACAAGAATCCCCCCCTCAGAGCTCTGGTAGTGTAGTGGTTACGAATCGGGCTGCGAACCTTAAGGACAGCAGTTCGAAACTACCAGCCGCTCCGCGGGAGAAAGATGAGGCTTTCTACCCCCGTAAAGATTTACACCCTCGGAAACCCTGTACAGGGTCGCTATGGGTCTGAACCGACTCGACGGCACTTAACAACAACAACATTGAGGTTCTTAAGCAGGGTATCCAGTGGACCAACTGACCTTCCAGGATTTTCACTGTTGTTGCTATAACTCTTGTCAACTTGATTCTGACGATGTATAGCAACTCTGCAAAGGGTTTCCTAGGAGTGGTTAGTGGGTTTGAACCACGATCCTTGCCGTTAGTAATCTAGTGCTTATCCTATAGCATACACCAGGACTCCAGGACTTCAGTTGTTATTGTTAAGTGCCTTTGAGTCAGTTCTGACTCATAGCAACCCTGTATAGGAGCAGCTGGTGAGTTTGAACCACCGAACTTGAGGTTCAAATGAATCTTATGGTCCAGTGCTTATCCTACAGCACCACACCAGGATTCCAGGACTTCAATTGTTAAATGCCATTGAGTGAGTCCTGACTCATAGTGATTTCTGAGGAGCAGCCGGTGGGTTTGAAATGACTACCTTGTGGTTGCAGTCCAGTGCTAATCCTATAGCGCCACTCCAGGCATTGAGGAGTGAAATGTGCCTACTTGTGGTCAAGGATTGCTGTGAGAATTAATTTCAATGGCAGTGGGTTTGGTTTGGGGGGGTTTTTTAGTGGTCAAAGAAGAGGTAAAATGCAGAGGATTCAGGACAGGTCTGTGGGGCAAAGTGACAAAGAGCAGCGGTCTTTCAGCAGGTTTCTCCTCCAGAACATAAGAGGATCTGACCCTGGTGGTGGTGGTACTTTTTGAATAGGCCTGCAACACATGAGGAAGCTGGGGCACCATCCTTAGAAAGACCGTAGCAGAACTCTGTTCTCACCATGAACAGCTATTATGCCTGTAGGTATGAAAGGAGATTCTTTCCCAGCCCCACCTGCATAGAAGGAGAAATGAACCCAGTCGTTCATGCTTGTCTTGAATTTGAGAAGGATGGGATGGAATATGAACTTGTTTGAGTTTGAGAAGGATGGGATGGAATATGAAGGATGGGATGGAATATGAACTTGTAGAAGAAGGAAAAATCAGTCTAGCAAATGATCAAGAGTAAATGTTAACAAGGTGATCAGAAAAAGGATCAAGTGCTCTTTGTTTCTGGTAACTGCTCCTCCACACCCTTGTTATCAGTTCAAAAAAAAAAGTTGACCAAATTGATTTCCCAGGAATTTCTCAAAGTTCAGGTAGTAGTTTAGTTGACTCAGAACACACAGAGAGAATGACATCTTCCTGATTGTAACCTAATTAACCTCTTGATGACCTCAACCAAAGGGCCCCAATTATGACTTCTCCAGAACTGGGGAAATAAGGTGATTATGGGAGGTAAAGCGCAAGTAAGGACCCTTTGGGGTTCTTTGGGGCCCTTTGGTATAGGTTATCAAGAGATTAATTAGAAGATTACATTTACTACAATTCCAACTGCCACTGCAGACCTTGACCAGAGCCCGCTTCCCAGACAGTACTGAAGGGGTCGTCTCCATCAGAGCCTCTCTGTACCAAGTCGCTGTGTGCTACCAGTTCCTCTAGTCCCTATACCGTTTCTTTTACCATCCCTTTATCTTCTGTCAAGGAAGATGACACAGAGCCTCACCACTTGCACACCTGCCCTTTATTGGACTCATCTAGCAGGCTGGCCCTAGGCTGTTCACGTTTCTCAGACACCTCCCCACAGGGTTTAGGAAGGGGCCATCATTCTGCGAAGTTCCAGAGGCTAGCCAAGTCTTAGAGTCCTAAGTTGAATCAGCAACCAGAAGGCTGGGAGAGGGAAAGACAACAGGCAGACCAGAAAGGCAGGCTGCACCATGAAAGGGGACCGATCTCCAGGGTAAGCTTAGGTCCAGTAGTGTCTCCTAAGGGCACACTGAATCCTAAGGAAGGATACTCAGGGATTCGATGGAGTAGATCTGTGTGCTGAACAGCTCCCGTCTATATGGCAACTTTGAGGAGGCGCTTGATGTCAGGCTCAATGTTGATGGTGGGGAAGGTACGGCTGTAGCGGCGGAACGGCTCCCCCTCTGGCCCTATAAGGAACTTCTCAAAGTTCCAGGCCACATCTGAGCGGCGCACGGGGCTCCAAATGAGGAACTTGGGATCGGTCATGAGGGAAAATGGGTCATCATGAGGGTAGGGGAGCTTGTCCTTCAAGTAGGCGAAGACCGGATGCTCGTTCTGACCATTCACCTCACACTTTTGGACAAGGGTAAATGTGGGCTGGAAGCCACCTCCAGGGCGGACATACTTGAGACTGTTCAGGATCTCCTCATTCTGACAGTTTTCCTGAGGAAGAAAAAAGAGAAAGTGTGGAAAAGGGAAGGAGGAACTGAAGGATCCACACCACGCATCCCATTCACCCTCCTACTCCTTTCCTGAGATCATTCCTTCTGTGCCTTCTCCCCCACCCGACTCCCTTTCTGTTCCTTCTTCAGTTGTTTTGCCCTAATCTTTGCCTCCCCCCACCGCCCCCCCGCAAGCTATTGTTTGATAGTTTCTGAAAATTCTTACAGTTCCTAGCTTGCCTATTCTTATACTGAAAGATTTAGCACTTTTGAGCTGTTGCCTCTCTTTCCAAACTACCCTGAGCTGTGTTCTTAGGGTATCTGAAGCTTCAAGAAACGAGTTTAGGGCAGAAGGAAGAAAAAGAAGGTGTCAGGCTATAAAGCTTAGAACCCCCTCCTCTACATAGCTATCTAGCTACAACACACACACACACACACTCACACACCCTGCCACCACCTCCTAGAACTTTCCCTCTACCCTGTTTGTCTGTTGCTTTTAATTTTAGGTGAGTGTTGAGTATAGCCTTTGCCTCCACCCTACTCAGTGCCTGGCACTATGGATGAAGTTGAAGTTCAGAAGAATTCAATTCACAGCTTCTTGCTTTCATCCTGCCTTGTCCTAGAATAGAATTGCAAATAGGAAGAGGAGGAGTCTATGCAAGTAGGTCTAGTTCTCAGGTACCACAAAGGAAAAGCAAGTTCCAGACACCAGTAAATGTCCTCTACATGGAATTACATAATGACCACCAGACATGGATTAAATAGGATAGAGGATTTAGGGCTGGGACTAGACCCAGGAAGTGGTGGTGGTTACGTGCTGTGAAGTCAGTTCTGACTCACAGTGACCCTGTACAGGGTTTCCAAGGCTATAAATCTTTATGGGAGCAGAAAGCCTCATCTTTCTCCCACAGAACAGCTGGTAATTTCAAACTGCTGACCTTGCGGTTTGCAGCCCAATTTGTAACTACTACGCTACCAGAGCTCCTTAGACCCAGGAGGAGAAGGGTTATAATAAGAGCGCGAAGGTTAAAGGTTGTGACTATGTCATTATTACTCCTTCCACTATAGGTTGCTATCCCGACTTTGCAAAAGTTTTACTCACTCAACTATGAATGCTTTATAACTCTGAACCCATTACCTGTCCCCATACCACCCTACTGCCATCCCTGTTCCATCCCCATGCACCATTCCCCACCCTGACATGGATTAGATAGGATAGAAGCTTGTAAATAAGAAGCCTTATTCTTGATCTCCTCTCTCCTTTCTCCCATTCCATCCCGGTTTAGGAGTCAGATATCTTTCTCAAGGAGAGAGTGTCTTCCTCTGACCTACTAGAGCCAATTAGTACAGTCAGTTTGAGGCCATCGGGCCATTGTGAGCCTGGAGTTGATCTCTATTAGACTTCTTATCTCTTAGTGCAAATGGCTATCTGGCTTCTAGTAGGTCTGGACTCCCTCCAGCAATGAGCTAGGCAGAAATGACGTATAAGGATAGAGTCATCTCTGGGACAAGAGGTGGTGGCGGTTATGTGCCATGGAGTCGCTTCCGACTCATAGTGACCCTGCATAGGGTTTCCGAGGCTGTAAATCTTTACGGGAGCAGAAAGCCTCATCTTTCTCCCACAGAACAGCTGGTAGTTTTGAACTGCTAACCGTGAGATTAGCAGCCCGATTCATAACCAAAAGGGTCTTGCCCTTGTGGCGTGGTGGGCTAATGTGTCAGACTGCAAAAAGTCATTTGAACTGCAAGGTCGGTGGTTCAAGCTCACCAGCTACTCCTTGGAAATCCTATACAGGGTCGCTATGGGTTGGAATAGACTCAACTGCACTTAACAACAACTCTGACAAAGGCGATGAAGAGGACTGAGACAAGGAAAGAAGAGTAAACACAGTAATGATTTGGGCTCAGGTTTGTCACAACCAATAATGCCTCAAGCTTCCTTGTATCTTGTACTTGTATCTCTGCTAATCTTTGCCTTGCCATTATGCCACTGTGAATTGAACAAAGGGGACCGCTATTAGAGGGTTCACTTGGGGACATCTGCCTGCTTGTGCTATTAAAATCAGAAGTAGAAATGGAGGAATTCTTTAAAAGATAACTTGAGGTGTCTGGGCTGAAGATCTTTAAAAACTTGACAGAGAGATACATGTGACCCAGAAGGGAGACTTGCTGCAAACCCTTAGCCTTCCTCTGTCGTCATTTTCCACGTGGCTGATTTATTTTTTAAAACCTTCCGTTTAAATTTTAAAAGTTGGTTGCACTTATCCAGAGAAGCAGCAACACCAGAGATGGAGGCAGAGATGGGGACTTGGAGAGAGGGAGCAGCTGAGGACTCTAGATTCATGGAAAGAGAGGGACTGAGAAGCTGGCGGCCAGGAGGCAGACTTGCAGAGTGTGCCCCTTTGGTGGTATAAATTATTATATATGCTTGAGTGCGCTTAAAAAAAAAAAGAGCTAAAATGAATAGTGAAAAATACTGTTAACTGATAGTACATGGGGGGATTACAATCATTGTAATGAAACAAGGTGTATGATTTGTTGAATGTAAAACTAATGATCTGCCCTGTAAACTTCTACTCAACTCACAATAAAAACTTTAAAAAAAAGTTGGTTGCAGTACTGGATATTTTTCGAATTATTTTTGCATCCCCTGAACATCACAATAACCCTCTAAGTGATTATCCCCTATTTACAATTGAGGAAATGAAAAAAAGGTGAATGACTGTTCTTAAGACAAAGAGCCATTCATTATACAGCAAAACCAATACTAGGCAGAATGAAGGTCTCCTGAGTCAGTCCATTCCTAGTTTGATCTTCTATTTCTTCCACTCATTCACTCAACAAGTATTTAATGAGTGCCTTCTATACCCTAGGCATTGAGACACAATGGAGAGTAAAACAGACCTGGTACCTCTCTCGTGGACTATAGCGAGGAAACAATAAACAGTGTTTAATCTTAAAACTAAGATATATAGACAGAATCATTATTACTTCACCTCAGTGTTCACCTAACGACCTAGATTAACAAAACATGCCCCATAATTCCAGACACTCCAACACACATAATCACGCGCTCCCTCCCCTTATCCTCCTCAAGCTACAACAATCCAGCTCCTTGGGTACAATACATGGGACCTCCTCACCTGATGTCCAAATTGGTTGGAAGGGAAGCCAAGAACCACCAGGCGCCTGGGAAAGCGGCATTGCAGCTCATTGAGCTGGGTGAAGTCCCGGGTGGTTGTACCTCAGAGCGAGGCCACATTCTCAATCAGCACTGCCCTGCCGCGGAACGTGTTGAAGTCTATCTTGTCCCCATCCAGGCTGACAGCACTGAGATCGTAGAAGGACTTGGCAATGTAGGCCATGGTGAGGCACAGAGTGAGCCCTGCAGAGTGGCAGGCACCTGTGTCAGGGCCTATTAAAGGGTGGGGAGGAAGGAGGAGCCCGGGAGGAGGAAAGAAAGGATCTCACAACAAGGCTTTGAGTATCCCCAGGATGACTTAGCAAAAACAGTTACCCACCTATCTGTAAGCGCTATTTAAACAAGGAGGTTGGTTTCTGCTATTTACAAACCCTGATCAAAATGCCTCGCTGCCCCACCTTACTGGCAGCCGGGAAGGGCCAATTTGATATCTATGATCAGAAATGAATAATTTACCACTTGCAGGAAACTAGAACCCCAAAGGTCGAATGGGAGGGAAAACAGAGGGAGAGACGCACAAGACTGACTGGTACTTGCCCCAGCAAGTTGTTCTCGCTTGGCACAGACATTTACCGAATGCCTGCTGAGTGCTAACCTCTCAGTGAGAGGCCAGGGTCATTGAGATCTAAAAGATGAGGACGAGAATCGGGACTCGTGTTAACATGACTCAGACTACTGCAGAAATATCCAGATCGCTGTTCAGACGTCCTTGGCTATTGCTGTCCACAGATACAGAATCAAAGGGACCCCATGGAATGGACAATCATTCCAAATCAATAGGACAACATTTATCCAAGGCCAAGGGAAGGTGGGTGGAATGGAGAAAGGAGCCACAGGGAGGAAGTGGGATGATTGTTGTTCCATGGAGGGGACTGAAAGCATTGAGAGGCAACCAAGTGTACGATTTGTTGAATGTAAAACGGATGATCTGCTCTGCAAACCTTTGCTCAGTTCACAATATAAAGTAAAATAAAATAAAAATAAAAGGGACCCTTAGGAGGTGAGTGTAGGGATTTTCTGAAAGTTATGGCTTTCAGTGCCTCAGCTTGCACGAGGTTGAAGCTGGAGAACATGTCTGCCCTTGTCTCTGCACTACACCATTGTTGGAAATAAGCCCCAATGCTGCAAACCGACACTTGGTAAATTCAAAAGTATCACGACAAGGCAAAATTTTACTTCTGCAGAAGGGTGCATAGCAACACAGTACCAAATCAACAAGCAAGTGGTGGGCCATCCTGTCTTTTATCCCTGACGTGAGTCTAAGGCTGTGTCTCACCCCATTAGCTAGGGCTTCAACTGCACAGTCTTGTCCTTACCTGGTTGGCTAATTCAAATTGGTAGGGCACACAATCTTGTCCTTACTAGATTGGCTATTTCAAATTACTAGGGGAACTTGAGGACTAAGGTGCGCCTGACCCAAGCCATGGTATTTTCAATAACCTCACATGGATGCGAAAGCTGGACAGTGAATAAGGAAGATCGTAGAAGAATTGATGCCTTTGAATTGTGGTGTTGGAGGAGAATACTAAAAGTGCCATGGACTGCCAAAAGAACCAATAGATCTGTTTTGGAGGAAGTGCAGCCAGAGTGCTCCTTAGAGGCCAAGATGGCTAAACTTTGTCTCTCATACTTTGGACATATTGTCAGGAGGGAACAGTTGGAAAAAGATATCATGCTTGGTAAGATGGAGGGTCGGAGAAAAAGAGAAAGACCCCCAACGAGATGGATTGGCCAAGTGGCAGCATTGATGGACTCAAGTATGGCAGTGGTAGTGAGGTTAGCCCAGGATCAGACATTGTTTCGTTCTGCAGTGCATGGGGTCGCTATGAGTCGGTTCCGACTCGATGGCACCTGACAACAACAACAGGGGAGCTTAAGGAAGTTGGAAAGTCCCTACTGACTTCAGGAAGTAGTAATGGATAAAAATTTAAAAAAAAGAAATGCCATCTGAATACAATAAACAGGACTACAATAAATTTGAAGAAAAGATACTCATTCCCACACCATCTACATACTCTACATGGTCCTCTATATCCCCAACAAAGACAGGAGTGTTAAGAGTGGTCACCTACCTCCTCTGAAGATTTCTCAATGGGGGCTTGTGCTAGTCATCTCCCCATCAAAGAAATTGTGCAGGGCGTTGAAGCTGCTGTGGTTCTAGAGCCAGCTAGGGCATTCATGACGTTTTCAACACCAGCTATACCATACACTGTAAGACAGCTGGCTGTTTGCTAAGTGTTACCATGGAAGCACACCCTAAAAAAGACTGTAATGCTATTTTATTCTTCCAAGCATCCACTAACTCAGCAATATTTTTTTAAGTACAGTTTTCTCTCTTTTTTGAAGCATTTTTATTGTGAATTTAGTGAAGGCTTACAGAGCAGATCATCAGTTTTACATCCAACAAATCACACACTTTGTTTCATTTCAATGATTGCAATTCCCTCCAAGCAACTATAGTTATCCCACTTTCTCCCTGTGGTTCCTCTGAACCCCTCTGAACCTTGTCCCCAGGTAAATGTTGCCCTTTTGATCTTGAATGGTTGATCATTTCCGAGGTATGCATACCTCAATAGGGTTGTTATCCCCCCTATATACCTATCTACTATGCAGTTGGAAATTGGCCCACCAGACTAAGTTCCATTCCTGATCTGAAGGGTGGCCAAAGACCATAGTCTTGGGTTCCTCATTCATTCTGACCTGGTCTTTTTTTGTAATTTTGCCACTAAACAATCTTTTTTTTTTTTTGGTAATAGTTTGATTTCTCCATCAGTAAAACTGACAATTAGGGTTTACCTGGCTTTGGGAATTTAGCGTGAAATTTCAGTAACGATGCAAATGTTTACTACTGGAGAGTGTTTTCACAGGTACATGTCCACTGGGAACTGCCTCTCAGAACAAACAAGCAGGGCTGGGGAGCAGCTGTTCTCAAAAGGATACAACTTGTGGAAATGTTCAGCTTTTTTCAGGGAGTGCTCAGCTTTGCTGTCTTTTGTCACCTGCTCCTTGGCTGTAGAAACCATTACACAATGGCTTTCCAAAAAAAAAAAAAAAACATAAGCCACCATTACCTAAGTGGGAAACTTTTGCCACTGGCATGGGTAAACCCAGGAGAAGCAGGGTGAAGTATGTCTCGTGATGAATTTAACAGCCAACATGCCTCCCTACCAAGCCACAGAGCCAGAAGAACTTGGCACTAACAGTGGGTGGAACTTGTAGGGACACAAACTTGCTAAGATGTATCTGCATGCCCAGAGAGCTGTCAGAACTCTTTGGGATTCCAGATACCACTTCTAGGCTGCTCTTTTGTGATCCCTCTCTAGGAAGACCTTGCGAGTTCTGAGCCTTGTGGGGAGATGGGAGTTCCTCTTCTTTCCTCAGGCATATGCTGTCCCTTTTATAAGTCCTAAAATAGCTTGTCTCTCATTTTCCTCAGCCCATCTGGCCACACTTTCCAACAGCCTCTGACTTGGGACAAGCACTAACAAGTGTGACTCCCACAACTTTCTGTGGAGACAATGGTTGTTGTGGAAACAGGATTGGCTTAGTAAGCAGAAAGCCCAGGTCGGTAGTTCCCAGCTTTGGCTGCATATGAAAATCACCTATAATTTTTTTCTAACTAGAGATGGCAAAATTCTACCTTCCATGGGTCCCAAATTCAGTGATTTCTAACCGAATTCTGCCACTGTTACCTGGTACCACTTGTTTAAGTGCCATAGAGTTGATTCTCATAGCAATCCTGTTTCCTGAGAAGTGGCTGGTGGGTTTGAATCACTGACCATGCAGCTAGTATTCCAGTGCTTATCTGTGCACCACACCAGAACTCCTTGTAACTCTAGGCAAATTTCTTTATCTTTTGAATGTGGATAAAGATAACCATTCTCCTTATCTCACACAGTAATGGTTAAGATCAGAGGAGATAAAGTATTACACGTACTCTGTAAACGTCAAGACTTAGGCTGCTATTGCTCAACTTTATTTTACAACTTCCTTCTTCATGCTATCTGTACCCCTTTCTTCTCCATACCCCCAAAGCATAGTATTAAACACCCCACAGAATGCTGTGATTCCAGCCCTGAGATAATTTTATCTCTCCTCGTGTCTTCAAGAAGACCAGAGCCATCTTAGCTTTAGAGATTCCCTCAGACATGATATCCTGCATCTTAATGACTGGTGAGTAGCCAATGACACTGGTAGTCCGGCTCTTGTGCTTAATCAGATTTCTGCAGTGGAAGCCTACGGGGCATGGGGGCTTTGCTTTCAGTTCCCCTACAGGTAGCATCAGGAAAGGCACAAATCTGAGGACAATATTTGCTGCTTCCACTGTTGTTCCATTCATTTTTCTTGAATCAACCATCAACACTCACGGAAGCAGCAGCCAAGAAATCAAACGACGTATTGCATTAGGCAAATATGCTGCACAAGACCTCTTTAAAGTATTGAAGAGTGTCTAATCCAACCCATGGTATTTTCAATAACCTCATATGCATGCAAAAGCTGGACAGTGAATAAGGAAGACCGTAGTAGAAGAATTGATGCATTAGAGTTATGGTGTTGGAGAATATTGGAAGTACCATGGGCTGCCCATAGAACCAACAGATCTGTGTTGGAAGAATGTGAAGCCAGAGTGTTCCCTGGAGGCCAGGATGGCCAGACTTCATCTCTCATACTTCGGACATATTGTCAGGAGGGACCAGTTGCTGGAGAAGGATATCATGTTTGGTATGGTAAGGAGCTCTGGTAGCGTAGTGGTTACGAATCGGGCTGCGAACCATAAGGTCAGCAGTTCGAAACTACCAGCTGCTCCGCGGGAGAAAGATGAGGCTTTCTACTCCCGTAAGGATTTATACCCTCGGAAACCCTGTACAGGGTCGCTATGGGTCGGAACCGACTCGAAGGCACTTAACAACAACAACAACATGGTGGAGGGTCAGAGAAAAAGAGGAAGACCCCCAGCAAGATGTATTGGCAAAGTGGTAACATCAATGGGCTCAAGCGTGGCAACAATTGTGAGGTTGGCCCAGGACCAGGCAGTGTTTCGTTCTGTTGTGCATAGGGTCGCTATGAGTTGGAACCAACTCGATGGCACCTAACAACAATCATCAGTCCATGGTTGTGGCTTTAGCCTTCCTGAACCCCATCACTGCTAAGGGAGACCTATCC